TGGGGGTTTTTTGCAGAAGGGTGTGGTGATTTTTTTCACCCAGCCGTTTTTCCAATAAAATATATTTTGACCTACCCTCCTTTGTCTTCTTTCTCATGTTTTTGTTTTTATGGTATGTTTTTTTTAAAAAAAAAAAATCCTGGCTGCCGTTTTTTCCAATAAAATGTCGTTTGGGCCAGTATTACCCTGATGATCCATTAGTGGTCAATATATATATATATATATATATATATAATATATATATATATATATATATATATATATATATATATATATATATATATATATATATATATATATATATATATATATATATATATATATATATATATATATATATATATATATATATATATATATATATATATATATATATATATGTATATATATATGTATATATATATGTATATATATATGTATATATATATATATATATATATATATATATATATGTATATATATATATATATATATATATATATATATATATATATATGTATATATATATATATGTATATATATATATATATATATATATATATATATATATATATATATATATATATATATATATATATATATATATATATATATATATATATATATATATATATATATATATATATATATATTTTATATATATAGGTATATACACACACACACACACACACACACACATATATATATATATATATATATATATATATATATATATATATATATATATATAAATATATATATATATCAAATCGGATAGAATTCAGTTGAGCTCAATGTCCAGGACAGAGCAAGGATATAATATAAAAGGCTCAAACACTAATATTCCAAGGTTATATTTTATCACATTCGAATCGTAATCATGATCCACTTCATCAGACCTACAAATTCAAAAAAAATTAATTTCTGTATATGTATATATAGATAAAATGTTCTTTAAAATAAGTTATAATAAAATGCCACTGACCATTCCTTTTAGCAGATCTATTTATAAAAAAATATATTTAAAATTAATAAAGATTAAATTTATTGAATAAAATCGCTATTGTCTCCAAGTCCGTCCTCTAGACAACTCCGGAATCCCCTGCAACTATTTCCGACGTTCTCCCTTTTTTACGTTCTTGAATGCTGCCATAATCTTTACCTTCAGTTTATCTTAGTCTTTACAAGGAGATTTGTTAATCTGTCGCTAACTACGACCCACACGTAATAACCTGCAGGGGTTGCTTTCATTGTCACTGGACCTAACCAACGCTTTTATCCACTGTGCCATGTGTCCTTAAGTTGTGAGTTCAATACCAGGTTAAGGCAGAACTTGGAGTGGGGAATTAACAGTAGACAGCTGATAACTGACATCAATTAGACATGGCACGTGAATCTAGAACAGTCTACCACAGCGAGATAAAGGGTCCAGTTCGACATTGCTACCAATTGAAGAAAGCCGGGGCGTACGGCCGAAACGTTATGATAAAGATGAGGACAATAATGTATACGGTTTAGTGGACTGTTACGTGACATCTGTCATCCTGTATGGCAGCGAATGCAAAAGATAAAGAAGAGACTTGAAACAATAGGAATGTGGCTCTACAGAAAGATGCTGAGAATACCATGGACCGAACATGTAACAAACAACGAGGTTTTGAAGTAAATGGAAACAAAAAAGGAAGCATACTTAACATCAGCAAGAGGCGAAATTTCTGGAGTACCTCATGAGGAAGGAAAGCTTGGAAAATTTGACACTCGCAGAATAGATTGAGGGAAAGTGGGACAGAGAAAACCAGCGCGTAACATACTTGATAGTCAGAACAGGCTTTGGGAGAAATAAAATAAAGATAAAACTTATTAAGAGTTATAAAAGTCAGGAAGATGGAGAGGGCCATGATCGGGATAGGTCTTGAAGGGATACGGCACATAAAAGTGGAAGTATGGGTTTTCACCATGGCAAAGCGCAAAGATACGAGATCCGAATTGGAGACGACAAAATCAAATCAGTAAAGAAATAAGCTTTTATATCTGGAAAATGTATTAACGGGAAATATGATATTGAAATATGAACGCGCATTAGTTGACAAAAGATGTCTCCTGAAAACTAAAAATATTAAGTAGCAGGAACATGTCTTGACAAGCATAGAAACCTGCTGTCTAATATCTATCCTAGTGCCATAGAATTCTGGACAATTTTCTCGTAAATGATCAGAAGCCTCATCAACAGTGATGTGGTTCTACAGAAGGTTGCTGAGAATATCATGGCCGGAGCATCCGAGTGACGAGGAAGATTTAATGAAAATTAAAAATGAAAACTGCAATTACAGAAAGTAACGCTTGAAACGTCTGAGGAAAGAAAGACTGGAAAATTTGACACTCGCAAGATAGTATAAAGGCCAGAGAATAAGGGAGAGTAAGCGAGTTGATGACCTTGTGTAGATGGAAAAGAGAACGAAGGAAGGGAGATGGTAAAAAGACAAACATTGACAAGGTCTGCAAAGGATAGGAAAATGGTGATAGCAATTAAGAAAGAAAGAAAGAAAGAAAGAAAGAAAGATGACAAAAATGGAACGTTAGGGAAAAAGAAAGAAAGAAACAAAGACAGAACACAACTAGATAGAAGGAAAGGAGAGTAACAGATAAAAAGACAGACCAGCAATAGAAAGAAAGAATGAATGAAAGAACGCAAATAGAAATAAAAAAAAGAAAGAAAGAAAAAATACTAAAATGGAACGTTAGGAAAAACGAAAGGAAGAAAGAAAGTCAGGGCACAGCTAGGTAAAAGGAAAAACCAGTAATAGAAAGAAAGAAAGAAAGAAAGAAAGAAAGAAAGAAAGAAAGAAGAAAGAAAAGAAAAACAAAAAAAAAACGAAAGGAAGAAATGGAAGCTTAGAAAGATGTAAAGGTCACCTATAAATAAAAGAGAAAGAAAGAAAGAAATGGAAAGTTAGAAAGAAAGAAAGAAAGAAAGAAAGAAGAGATAGAGATAGAAAGAAATGAATGATTAGAAAGAAAGAAGGAAATAACAACAGAAAGAAAAAAGTAAGAAATGGAAAATGAGAAAGAAAGAAAAAGGAAAGAAAGAAAGAAATGAAAGAAGAGGAAGCTTCGACAAAAGAAAGAAAGAAAGAAAAAAGAAAGGATGAAAGATAGAAGATGAAACATCAACAAAAAGAAAGAAAGAAAGAAAGAAGAGGAAGCTTCGGCAAAAGAAAGAAAGAAAGAAAAAAGAAAGGATGAAAGATAGAAGATGAAACATCAACAAAAAGAAAGAAAGAAAGAAAGAAAGAAGTGGAAGCTTCGAAAAAAGAAAGAAAGAAAGAAAGAAAAACGAAAGGATGAAAGATAGAAGATGAAACATCAACAAAAAGAAAGAAAGAAAGAAAGAAAGAAGAGGAAGCTTCGACAAAAGAAAGAAAGAAAGAAAAAAAGGATGAAAGATAGAAGATGAAACATCAACAAAAAGAAAGAAAGAAAGAAAGAAGTGGAAGCTTCGAAAAAAGAAAGAAAGAAAGAAAGAAAGAAAAAAGAAAGGATGAAAGATAGAAGATGAAACATCAACAAAAAGAAAGAAAGAAAGAAAGAAAGAAAGAAGTGGAAGCTTCGAAAAAAGAAAGAAAGAAAGAAAGAAAAAAGAAAGGATGAAAGATAGAAGATGAAACATCAACAAAAAGAAAGAAAGAAAAAAAGAAAGAAAGAAGTGGAAGCTTCGAAAAAAGAAAGAAAGAAAGAAAGAAAGAAAGAAAGAAAAACGAAAGGATGAAAGATAGAAGATGAAACATCAACAAAAAGAAAGAAAGAAAGAAAGAAGAGGAAGCTTCGACAAAAGAAAGAAAGAAAGAAAAAAGAAAGGATGAAATATAGAAGATGAAACATCAACAAAAAGAAAGAAAGAAAGAAAGAAAGAAGAGGAAGCTTCGACAAAAGAAAGAAAGAAAGAAAAACGAAAGGATGAAAGATAGAAGATGAAACATCAACAAAAAGAAAGAAAGAAAGAAAAAAGAAAGAAAGAAAGAAGTGGAAGCTTCGCAAAAAGAAAGAAAGAAAAACGAAAGGATGAAAGATAGAAGATGAAACATCAACAAAAAGAAAGAAAGAAATGAACAGTTAGAAAGATAATGAAATTAACGAAAGTCAGTAAAAAGAAAGAAATGGGAGATTAGAAATAAATAAAGAAAGAATGAAAAAAAGAAAAACGAAAAGGCAAAGAAAGAAATCGAAGGTTAGATGAAGAAAGGACACCGATAGAAACCCTTAAATAAAAAAGAAAAATGAAAAGTTAGAAAGAAAGAAAGAACGATCAGAAAGAGAGGAAGGAAGAAAGAAGAAAGAAAGAAATGGAAGTTTAGAAAGAAAGAAAGAAAGAAAGAAAAAAGAAAGAAAGAAAGAAAGAAAGAGACGAACGATTAGAAAGAAAGAAAAAAATAACGAAAGAAAAAGTAATGGAAGGTTAGATATAAAAACAGAAAAAATGAAAGAAAGAAAGAAAGAAAGAAATGATCGATTAGAAAGAAAGAAGAAAATAACGAAAGTAAGAAAAAACGAAATGGAAAACAGAAAGAATGAAAGAAAGAAAGAAAGCAAGAGAGAAAGAAAAAAAGAGATGTTTGCATTAATTCCGCCGATGTTATTTATCCATATTATGAAGGGAGATTTATTTGAATCTTTTTTAAGATGTTTTTGTCCACATGAGCTTTCATCCATCGTCAATGTCAGGTCCCCACATGTAGTAGCAGCGCAACTAACGTCGTCAAATACATTGGAGGAAAGACCATCTCCAACGGCACCCAGTAAGTACTCCAATGTAGCAGTGGTAGCAATAGCTGTCGTTGTAGTAATACTAGCTGAAATGTTTCCAGGCACCGGCTTCATTCATCTCTGTCGATGCCTACCACATGCGCATGTACATCCATCCAAATACTTATAGTCGCGACGTGAACAATGATTACACCATGGCTGTTAGATTTTGCATGGCCGGAATTGTATAGTGTACGATCTCGTAATGAGACTGCCAGTAAATGAGTCGGTTTATGCCTGTCGCTGCCATGTCGGGAACGATTCTCGCGAGAATAAACGTTAATTGTTATGCTCGAACCGGAAAATAAAGAAAAAAATATTTGAAAAGAATTGTTTATAAATTTCGATTATTTTCTTTATATATTTTCACAATTAGTCACTTGGTAACGGCTATGGTCCGCGTTTATTATTTGTGTGTCTAAACTTAGTCGAAATCATAAAATGAATAGGTAAATATTTGTAAGTAAAAATTTGCGATCTCTTTTGATGCCACACCTTGACCTAGCTGGACAAAAGAAAAAGTAACTGCTTTCTGTTTTAATGTCTTTTATATTGTATGCAGTTCCCTTCTTTTAACACAAAGTTTCGGCCGTCTACTCACCACCCATCTTCTGCTGTCTGTCAGATATTTTCCAGACTGTCGCCTATCTCCCTTTCTATAACTCTACTCTAAGCTCACGTCTTTTCCGTTTAAAATTCTTCTTCTTCTTCTTCTTCTTCTTCTTCTTCTTCTTCTTCTTTTTCCTTTCTTTTTTCTTCTTTTTTACTTCATTTTCTTCTTCTTTTTCTTCTTCTTTTCTCTTCTTCGTTTTCTTCTTCGTTTTCTCATTAATGTTCTTGGTTTTCTTCTTTTTCTTTTTCGTTTTCTTCTTTTTTACTTCATCTTCTTCGTTTTCTTCTTCTTTTCTCTTCTTCGTTTTCTTCTTCGTTTTCTCATTATTATTCTTGGTTTTCTTCTTTTTTTCTTTTTCGTTTTCTTCTTTTTTACTTCATCTTCTTCTTTTTCTTCTTCCCTTAATTTTCTTCTTCTTCTTCTTCTTCTTCTTCTTCTTCTTCTTCTTCGCTTATCGTCTTCTTTCTTCTTCGCTTATCGTCTTCTTTTTCTTCTTCTTCGTTTATCTTCTTCTTTCTTCTTCCTCCTCTTCTTCTTCTTCTTCTTCAGCAAGCAGGTAACAGACGCTCTCTCTCTCTCTTTCTTACTTTCCGAAGCTTAGTAAGGTACAAGGCCATAAATGTTGCGAAACTAGCTTTCCTATCACTACACTGCCGTAGAGGAACCTTTCTGTTTCCTATTAAAATTCTTTACTTTGTATTGTATATTCTTTTTCCAGATATGCTTTATGCTATTTTAATCTGCATCCATTTCTGGCGTAGGTGATTACGGCTCTCTACTGTGTTTGTTCTTTATTATCTATAAATTTCAATGCAATAATGGAATGATTTCCCGTTGATTTCGCGACAATTCAAGTCTGGAGTATTTTTCTCTCAGTCTCGTTGCCCCCACAAGAATAGAGAGCCTAGTCTACCCTGTTTTTTTACCATAACTAATTTAATTTTAATGAAACGAATCTTCAGTAAGTAGATGAACAAGAGTCTTCACAAAATCTTTTTTTTTCTATATTATGTGTAAATCTTTATGCTATCTTGGGAAACAGTGAAAAGTTCTCCCATTCCATTTGTCACAGTTTGAACTGGGTATTTTTCTTTTAAACTGGTTGTCATCCAAGGCTAGATAACAGAGTCTACCCTACTATTTAAATCATAATATGCTTAATTTTTTTAATGATGTATCACTTTAGAACGCAGGTGATCATGCATCTCCACAGCTTCCTTTTCTTTATTATCTCTGAATTGCTTTGTACTCTTCCGAAATATAACAGAGTGACTTTCCTTTGCCTTCCCAACGGTTTGAATTTAGCGTTTTTTTTTGTTTTTTTTTATCAATTCACCCCAAACAAAGCGATAATGCCACTAAGACACAAGGGGATACTGGAAGGGCAACCGAAAAACCCACCCTAAATGGGAAACAATGTATAAACCACTACTCCTGTTCAAAAGACCAGGGAGGAGTGTAAACAGGGCGATAGGCGAACCTATCTATTTAAGGATTAAAAAAAAATAATTAGGAAATAAAACTTCAGAGTTCAGACGGAGACGTTATAAATTTAGAGTTAAAATAGATTTTAGAAGGAACCGGTAACCCAAGCCAAAACAGGAAACAAGTGATAAACTTCTACTCCTGTTCAAAAGATTGAGGAGGAGTGTGAAACGGGCGAGAAACGAACCTATCTGTAATATAGGAAACAACTCTAAGTAGAAGCTTATGAAGTTTAATTTTACTAATTTAGCTATTGCTATAACTGATAAACGTTTATTTCATTGTGATGGATGGTTACAAGCGAGAGGAGAGACGCGATGTGCTTATGTTATTGGTACACTATCTGTTACTATGTTTCTAGTAGACTGGTTTCTACGCAAGAGCACTGTCTACCTTTCTAGCTGTATTTTTCTTATTAATAAGTATTAAAAGACGATGGAAATAACTGATTGAAAAAAAAAATAAAATAAAACGTATCGCTATTTTTTATTAAATGAACATAAAAATTATAATGTTACCATTATAAAACCTTAACGTTAAACACAAAGACTTCTTTTTTTTTTCGAATCTCACACACGCAGGCGCGCGTGAGCACTTCAACATGGTGTACCGGTTAACAAAATTGTCTTACGCGATCATTTATGTCTGAAAAGTGAATTCGATTCTCACTGAGCGCGTTATATATTCAACCTCGTGCCACATCTTAGCTACGCCTTGCAAATCAACATTTACAACGTTAGCCTGAGAAATACAAGTACTACTTTTTTTTCGAAGCTCACACACACAGTAGAGCGTGGGTATCTGAACGTGGCGTATCCGCTTAGCAAACTTGTCTTATGAGATGAATTACAACTGGAAAATGAGCATGGTCCTCACTGGGTGCCTCCTTACTTTCGGCCTTGTGCCACATCTAAGCTAAACTTAGAAAATCGCCACAGTGACGCGCGTATTGTCGCTTTTAGCCCAAACAATCCTCGTCTCAGATTACACATGATTTGAAAAAAATAAAAACTTTTTTTTTCTTTTTTTTTTCCAACGTGATGATTTTCTTTACGGGCATCGTCATTCACTTGTCTATTCTACACCTCCACTTGAAGAAATTTAAATTTAAATTATCAATACTGGAAATTGTTGATAGGATAAAACAGAATAACCCTTCATAGAGCTACCGGTGTGACCAGCTTCATGACAGCTGAGGGTTTTTTTTTTTGTTGCTACTACTACTACTACAATTATTACCACAACTACTGCTAGTCGTCGTCGTAGTGGTTGTAGTGTTAGCGCTGCTACGGAGTGATGTAAATTCGCTTGTCTTGCCGTATCGTTATGTGTACATACGACACCCGGGAGAGGAACAAGTAGGGAATGGATGGAGAGGAATTTACCACACTATCAAAAGACTGAAGAAAGACCCCAATAATGAGCACCTGTTAAAAACGGTATTTGTTACTTGCCAATGAATCGTTTTAGGGAGTGGCACTTCAAAGAGTGGGACGCGCAAGGGAGTAAGTTTTGATTTTTTTTTTTTTTCGGTTTGCAGTAAGAACTCTTATTTCTTCATTTTAATTGTTCGATTTAAATATAGAAATTTAGAAGAAAAAAGTGAAGTGGTCCTTCAGCATTAAATTAAACAGGTTTAATTTATTTTTGTCTAAGGTAGTGAAAAAAAAAATTAAAATCTATCTATCTCTCTATCTATCTCTCTATCTATCTATCTATCTATATCTCTCTCTCTATCTATCTATCTATCTATCTATCTATATATATATATATATATATATATATATATATATATATATATGTTAATCTATTTCGCTAAAATCTGTAGTAAATTGATCTTTTAAAGAGAAAACGGATAGCAATTCTACTGTTTTTTTTTTAGCTATTCATTCATTTTTTTCGTATTTATTTATTTGTTACTCCTTGCTCATTCGGACTTAGGCGTCTTATAGGTATGGTCACTCTAAAAACGAACTAGATGGCCACTGTTTATTAAACTTAGTTTTTAAGGCATGTCTGTGTCGTGTTATTCCAACAAATAAAATTCGAAAGAATTGTGAACTAATTCAAATTTAATATATACTTATATATAAATGAAAAGAAATAAAGAAACGAAACGGACCCAGTAAACGCTCTCGCAAGTAAAATAGCGGATTGCTTTTAACTCGTATAAATCATGTTTTCTTCTCCCTGAACAAACATGCCGCTACGACAATCCACGTTAAAGTGCTCGCTGCTTGATTCTGAGCATGGATACATACATCGGCGACACTATTTGATGTAAACAGAGAAATGCGTGTACCTTATCTGCAAAAGAAAAACTAGATTACTATCATAAGCATTACTTCTTATCTTGATTGAAGCTATAGCAAAAAATAAAGGGTATATATGATCAGATGTTATTGCAAATATAAGTTCAGCTAGAAGCAAAAATTCAAGCGTAATTGTACCAAGGAGACGGGAGTGCGCTTGCCGTAGAAGTGTGGTCAGCGGACTGGTCGAGGTGACCAATCCTGTATATCGAGTCCAAGCTTTCAAAAAGGACCCCACTATTAAGATGTTACGCTAAACTGAAATCGACTAAGTAAATAGTTACTGTTTTACATCTTGTAAAATCTGTGATAGCCGCCGTGATTAAACATTGTCATATAAGCTGTAGATATGCCGGTAGAAATCAGTTTTAGTTTCAATCGACATGCCTCCCAGATATTTTGAGGTGATATTTCAAATACACAAATAATTGAAAATAATTTAACTATAATAAAAATATACTTAATTTACACAATTTAATTATAATAAAAAATATACTAAATTTATATAATTTAACTATAGTAACAATATATTAAAATTTAATTTTTTTTTCTGATATGTAATAAAATAATTTTAATTAAATAGTTTTAGCTTTTCGCTAAAGAACTTAATAAATGTATCTTCTAAAGAGGAAAGTAATAAATAATTTTGTTGTTTTTTCTATAGGTATATGTTGACTTATTGCAAATTATTCGAGAATTTCAATATAAAAATATATCCCAAATTATGAATTTTACATATAATATATTTTTGTAAATAAAGTTAAATAAAATGTAGTTAAATTAAACGTTAACTAATAGCTTTTTTTAGTAGAGAACGATTTCCATTTTATTAAATTTATAAATCTCAGCTAAATTCTGTTTCAAATTAGAAAAGCCGCTTCGTTTATCCGGGCCCTTCAGGTTCGTATGTTAAAGGTTAGTCGCTTCTGTAAAGAGAAATCGGTAAAAAAAAGGGGGGTAAAAATCTAGAAAACCCGGAACAATGAATGAAACAAAACTTGACGAAGCTTCGGAAAAAACGAGTCTGTTCCACTCTACAAGAAACAGCGGAGCCGGCGGAGGTAACGTCGGTCCTAGCCGCGATACATGGAGGGCAACGACGAGCCGACTGTTTCTTCATCACCATCACCGTCAGCAACAGGTTCGATTCAAATCGCATCACCACCTCTATCGCCAACATCATTACCACCACCTCCATCAGAAGCAGAATAAACAGCGCCAGTCGGGTAGCCCGCCGAAACAGCAAACCACGCAACAATCACAACGTTGCAATGCCGATCAAATGTCTACTGTTCACCAACAGCACAAACAAATTCTACTGCATCACCACCAACCGCAGTCCCCTAACCAGCAGCGATCATGCCAACCGAGCCACCCCCATCCACCACATCTGCACCCTCGCCTCCATGTCCATCGTCCTCACTCCCCACTCACACCGCAAAAACAGAAAAGAAAAAAACAGCATTTACAGTTAACCTACGGTAGTCGTCGAGAGGGTTCCTCAGCGAACGTTCCTGGGGAGGAGTGCTCTACCGTTCAGCCTAGACTATCACTAAACCGTCCACCACCTGTTGCGACTTTTCTTGGGGCGACGTCCGAGTGCCCCTACTGCGGTGCCGGAGGGGGCCACTTACAGCAGAGCCAGTACCAACACCCATATACGCAACATTACCAACACCAGCACCCTCTCAGGACAGGAGTACCAGCGATTGCCCGCAGGAACCAAGCACAAGCTAGTAGGGACACTGAGGGCGCCACTCCAACGGCATCGGGTGGGACAAGCGTTCAACATTGCTGCGGTGGGGCCCATCTTCCACCTACCCCAACAGGTTCTGGCGTTGTTATTACAACAACTCCACTCTCAGAGTGTAAACATCTTCCAGCCATAAGCGATGACCATATCGTATTTCTTTGGGATTCTAATTACTGCCGGTCTTTCCATGGTATCGTTCGAATTCTTCAAGTGGTAAGTTGGCTTTCTTAAAATAATCTTTTACGCTATGTTTTTAAATGTTATATATATATATATATATATATATATATATATATATATATATATATGCGCGTGTGTGTGTACAGGGGGTTTTAAATGTAGGTATACAGTAAGGAAAAAAGAAACGTGCACACGAAACGTATTGTATTGATTATACAGGGTGCGATGGATAAATTGTTGTCCAAATTACGCAAAAATGTAAACTAACACTGGCATCTCATTTTAGCAGACAATTTTACCAAAATTACACCAAAATATCTTGAAATACTAAGGAGGAAATTTGATTCAACAAAATCGAATTTGGCTCCAGCCACGGCCGCCAGAATCGAAATCTCCTGCGACTCTTCTAGACGGTCTTCTTTTTGTTTAAGTTGGTAAATACTGCTATAATCTTTGCTTTTAGTTCGTCCTTTGCGTTACAAAGAATTTTGCTGATACCTCGCTCAACTGTGCCCCACACATAATAAACAACGGGGTTAAAGTCTGGGGTGTTAGGTGGCCAGATGTAAGGGGTGATGTGGTTGTAGAATTTATCTGACAGCCTTAACTGGATGCTTCTGCCTTGGTGGCATGTTTCAGAGTTCTGTTACCAGACATGTCTTCCAACAGTCACCCTCTTGACCCAGAGAAGCACTAACTCCTCAAGCAATTTCACGTAGGCCTCCGTGTTGAGTTTGAGGCCTGTGGGAAGAAGAATGGAGGGCATAACGCCAAAGTGATCACTCCAAACACCATCGTAATCGCCATTAGACTCACCCGACTCTTTCCAAATCTTCTGAAATGTTCCTATTGGAACTTCCGGCGCGAATGTCAAACAGTACATCATGCCGTCTCCAAATTTCAGGCGCAGTGATTTGCATCATGGTGCTCTTTTTCTCACAGACTCTACCAACTGACCCTGCAATAATGTGCAGTCGACAAAATCTGAAACAAACAACGCGCATGCGCGCAATTAAAAATGGGGGCAATTTACTCATCGCTCCCTGTACAAACATATCAATAATAATGTCTTCCAATATCGTTTTAAAGTTTATTTGCTCTCCTCGTCCGTTAAATTGTCAGCCATCGTTAAATTTCCACTTTACCTGCTAAAAGTTTATTATTTATAAAAAAAATAATAATTATAATAAGCCTATTATAATAAAAATTAGGAAAGTAAATACATTGTAATTGATATTAATGAATTAAATGAATTCTAGTAATAATAACTACTAGAACCACTTACTGTAAGCCTTTCCCCTTCTGTGCATATATATATATATATATATATATATATATATATATATATGTTAATACATTTTATGTTTATACATTCTTTTTATAGTTACAAATATGTAAGTAAATGCTCTGTTTATAATATTCGTATCTATAAAAAGAATGTACAAGCTATAAAATGTCTTAAAATAATTGTCGGACTTTGTTCATTTCATAATATATATATATATATATATATATATATATATATATATATATATATATATATATATATATATATATATATATCAAGAACAATTTCGTAGGAAGATGCATGACAAAGTGGAAAAATCTTTCTTGTGACGCGTTTTGACCTTTAGGACCCCATTGGACTAAGTCTATTTACAATGAAATCCTAAAGGGCGAAACACGTCACACAAACACTTTTTCCACTTTGTCATATATTTTCTCCCAAAATTGTTCTTGATATATAAAATGTATATATCGTTATCTCCTATATATATATATATATATATATATATATATATATATATATATATATTAGTTGTGTATTTGGGTAGTAATCCTCTTTAATATATGTTTGGTTGAACAAGATACTTTTGTTTAGATATTTGATAATTTTTTATTCTATGAGTACAGGTCTTTTCTTTTCTGGACTTAATAAATCCAGACATTGGTCAAAATACTTAGGTTCCGAGTATTTTCGTTTAAACCATATACAAGGACTTTATATTACTATAATAAATGTTGTGTAAGTGCTATTCTAGACGATGTAAATTTGTTGAAAATAGACGCATTCTTAATTCCAAAATATAAATATCCGAACAAGTTTTATTAAATGTTTGTCTATTTATTTATTTATTTATTTATTTATTTATTTTGTATATTTGCAATTTTCGAAAAAAAGATTTTGCATGTCAATCAGGATCATAATCGTCGGTGAACTTTTCGAAGTCATGTCTTTTTTGTTGATTTTCTTTAAGTATTTTCGACCGTGTCTGTCATTATCAAAAAAAAAAAAATAAATAAATATTGGCTGTCAATATGGTAGGCCAGATTCCGTTGGCTACATCCTGGTACTTATAGAAAGGTGAAATTGTTGAACCCGTTCAATGTGGTTCAAGTGAAACGTTATATAGGAATGACATTGCAAAAAATAATTATGATATATATATATATATATATATTTTTTTTGGTGGGGGAGGTGATTTTTTTTCTATACAGAGGTAAAACCCCTCCTACTGGAGCGAAATGTATTGGGCTTAACGCGGCTTTATTGTTTTACATTTTAATCGCTTCTTGGATTTTTTATCCTTCCTTGCATTAATCTATTGTCCTATTATTTACAAATACTTACATTAGGTCAATATTGTAGACTGAGTTTAATCTAACTTGCTTAGATTAATACCTAAATATACCTCGCCCTATCGGCTGGGGCTTCGAAATATGCCGACTGCACCTTTTGCAGAAGGGTAAGACCCCCGCCAATGAGCCTTCTTGAGTAAGACGATAAACTACATCCGACAGCAAACCTCTGATCAGGAGGTTTTGAGGGGCGTTGGAACTACCTCTTAATTGGTAATGTTACCAGGTCCACCCTGACCCTGGGGTGGTAACACCGGTTAGGGTCCCATCAATGGGAAAATAGTTAACTCAAAAACTGGGCTCAAAACGAAGTGAAAGTTTAAAAATAGGTTTTTGATACCAGCAATAAATTTTTGTAAAAATTATTACCAGCAATAAAAACCTTGTCGACATTAAATAACCCATTGAGGTTGATATGCAGTAAAACAAAAGAAATCAAACCAGACTTCAATATACCTTATCTATCTATCTATCTATCTATCTATCATCGTTTCTCACTGAAACTGAGTAATATGTTTTCCCTCTTTCCATGCGTTCAAAACGGAATAGTTCATTATTTAGAAGGTACTGGTAGGTGATGTTACACACTTCTATGTATCTATCTATTTATCTATCTATCTATCTCCATATAAAATTGACATATTGTAATTCAAGAAGCGAACCTGAGTTGATATACAAGAGTAAAACAAAGGAAAACCTAGTGAAGATCGATATATATATATATATATATATATATATATATATATATATATATATATAGAGAGAGAGAGAGATATTGAGGCAATCAGATGCGTATCCACAATGATGAGCAATGATACAGCGAAAGAATCTTTCTATGAATGACAATATATACATATATATATATATATATATATATATATATATATATATATATATATATATAATACCTGGGAAGTTCAATGAAATGATAACTGGGTCACCCGGAAGCGTACAACGTCCGAAATGTCGCGAATAAATATAACAATGGAAGATGAGGGCAACAGTATTGTAAATAATTACAATACCTCATCCCATATATATATATATATATATATATATATATATATATATATATATGAGTATATAGTTATATATATATATATGTGGATATATATACATACATATATATATATATATATATATATGCATGTATGTATATATATGGATTTATATATATATATATATATATATATATATATATATATATATATATATGTATATATATATATATATATATATACTCGAATTTAGCCCAACCATATAATAGTCTAATTATTCAGATGGCAATATAAAAGAAAGTTTTGAAGCATATATTTTTTATCTTGCCGTTTCTTAGTACCCCTGCGATTACCTGCTACAATGGTCTTTATTTTGAATAATTTTTATAAGGGATATATCACACGCTAAATATCCCCCCACATAATCATAATCACAGACAACCCTATATATAATTGTTGGTTAAAAGTTTCCGAGTACACCAGTCTGTTGGTCTAAATCGTTATTATAGACTCTCAAACCACACGGTAGGACTTTTTTCAGAACTTAGATCGGATAATCGGGCATGGCCAGTTGAATCGGCACACATAGTAAATGATGTTCTGCTCTTTATATTGAAACAAAAGCAAAAGAGGTATCTAGGCTACGACAGGCAAGTTAAAGGAGCTTAACTGTGCCGCTGATGAGACCAGTACATTCAAACCCTCGGTCACAATGGCTTTTAAAATTTGCGCTCGCACCAACATGGACGACTTCCAAACGGCTCCAATTTCACTCATAATCCTTGAGTTAACCCATAGTATGGATTTCTAAAAACAACGAGCGTTGGGATCGCCTCACTACGTCGGTAAACTCACCTCACTGAATAATCGACCGAGGTGGGATTCGAACCTGGTTTTCACGGCCAGAAAGCAAACGTTCTAAAACTCCGGTCCTAAATATATATCGGCTGTAACAGAAAAAGTGTCCAACTCGTGTAACAGCATAACTGTCCTTCCCACAAATAGTTTAATATGGGAAAATCCACTAAACTGAGTTTCTTGTTTTCAGATAAGACATTTAGCCATCTTGACACCATTTGTCGTATGAATCACTGCAAAACCCTTTGAGTTATTCAGCTACAAAGGGAACAGATTAAAATTCTTTTGTGTCAACCCCACTGTTTTTCCAACAGGGCAATGCTGAGAGGACAATTTTCATTCAGGTCTTCAGTGATGCTAGCAATATTCATACTGTTCCTTACATCTTCAAACCATTTTAGTTTAAATAAGAGGAAACAGTAGAGAGGAAAAACTGGATCAGCAGGTCACAACAGGAAGAAGAATCATCATTACAATTTAGAGCTAAAAAGGTCAATTAGAAAAGATCCAACTCATTCCGTAAGAGGTTTGGCAGGTGAGTGAGGAGTTTCAGCT